TCATTGATGAAGATGTTAAATAGTATAGGCCCAAGGACAGAGCCTTGAGGGACCCCACCGGTCACAGCGCACCACGACGATTGGCTCCCGTCGACCACCACCCTCTGGGTCCTATCGCGAAGCCAGTTCCCCAACCAGTGGATCATGGTGACATCAAGGCCGCAGTTAGCCAGTTTAGCCAAGAGGTGATCATGGGATACCAGATCGAAGGCTTTTTTAAAGTTGAGGTATACAACATCGATCTCTTCTCCCTTGTCCAGGTGATAGGTCACCTGGTCATAAAAGGAAATGAGATTGGTCAAGCAAGACCTACCCGCAACAAACCCATGCTGGGCATCCCTCAGGATATTGCCTTCAGCTAGTCTGTTAAGGATGGCCTCCTTGATAATCTTTTCCAAGACCTTCCCCAGGATAGAGGTCAGGCTGATGGGCCTGTATTTTGCCGGATCTACCTCCCTCCCTTTCTTGAAGATAGGCACCACATTGGCCTTCTTCCAATCTTCGGGCACTTCACCAGAGCACCAGGAGCTCTCAAAGATCCATGCCAGGGGCTGAGCTATAATGCTCGCCAGCTCCCTGAGTACTCTTGGGTGTAACCCATGAGGGCCGGCTGACTTGAAGGTATCCAGCCTGTCAAGGTGTTCCTTCACAAGGACAGCTTCAATGGAGGGCAAGGAATCTCCCTCCCTCAAGGAATCTCTGTATGTTAGTAGCCTGCTTGGGATGGAAGTTAGAGGCAGCATTTAGGCTAGGCTGCCTTATTCTTATGGGACACTGCATTGGGAAGATCATCTCATAAATGTTTGGTTTACTTGCTCTTTGTGCTGGTATTAGGGCTGAGGAATGCTGCTCTCACAAATAAAACATGGAGGGATCAATCTGATGAAGGTGGAGATTAAGACCCCAAGAACTGTATAAGAGCCAGTGAATTCTCTCAGATAAACGCACTGGATGGTGAAAAGCTTAGTGGTAGCAAGACTATAATAGTTAAGGACAGTATTTCATATGAAACAGAGACCCCACTGGGAAGGCTGATCTCCTGTCTACTCCTTTGCAAGCTGTCTGGCTGAAAGATTGTTTCCAATCATCACCTCAAGGGTTGCTTCATTTTTTAAAAAGCTTCTGCTTTCTAAAAGATCATCATAGAGAAGCCTAATTGGTGAAGTGTAAGTTTGAGCCTTGCTGTGGGCTTGTGCCAAAAGTCATTCCTAGCCAACCCAGATATAAATGGGCACTAATCATTCAGATTGACAAGTCAAATGTGATAAAACTAGGCATTAACCACATCTCTCTTGTGTGGCATTGATCACAGAATCTGGTATGCTTTACCCACGCTAACTTGATGTTCTTATGGGCTCAGATGGACTTTTGACCTTTTTGACTTACTGGAACATGCTTGGTGTTCCCAAGAATCCAAATCACAAGCCAAATGTCTTTATTAATATACGTGCATTTCTTCACTAATGTACATGCCAAGAGTAATCTGTTTAATAGTCACTTTCATTAGTGGAAAAATAAGAGTAATCTATTTAATAATTTTTCACAACCAGACCTTAAACATTGTCTCCCATCACCCTGTATTGCTAAAACTGCCTAGTATAATTTGCAGTGTGCTTTGAAATCTTTCACTGAGGAAGGCACTTCTGTTAAAAGCTATAGGAACTTGAGTAGCCAAAGATATGTAAGGGGACCTCTCTCAGGAGAGTACATTGGCAGAGCTCCACTGATTTTACATGGAATTACATCACCAAAGAATATGTCCCAGTACCACTGTGAGCTCCCACTGACTTCACTGGGTAATGGATCTGACCCATCATGCTTTCCAGGCACAACACATTAGTTTAGTAATGAGTCGGAGGGAGTAATGCCATTCTGAATTTTTGGCACTACTTCTTGCAGCATCCAGATTATCATTAGGAATCTCTCATCTCATTTTATCTTGCTGTCTTTGTTTAAGCTTGTTTAGCCTATGAGATCTGATGGGGCCATTCAGCCACATTTTCTAACTTTCATCTGTTTACAGCTTTAACCAAGGATCCCAGTGAGATTTAAAAATATACCCCTGGTTTAAATGTGTAGCTATTCAAACCATAAGCTTTGCAGATTTGGCTTAGTTATTCAATATTAAAAAGCAAGAATTTTCCCAAGGTATATTTTGTTGCCACAGCTTGTAGCTTAATATGAATACATTTTAAATGATAATTTTAGTGATAG